TACTCCTAAGTAATTCCTGCACATCCTCCAGGTCTCAGCTTAAAGCTCACTTCAAGGGGAACCCTTCCCTGACACACCCCCTTTTCCCTGGAGGAGCTCAGATCTCCCTTTACAAGCTGTCACCATACCCCACATTCTCCACAGCAACACTATCACTAGGTCAGTTATATGCTGATAGTGCATATCAGCTCTGTCACCTTAGCTTGCATCAGAGTGGATTCTTAAGGCGGGAAAAGGAACCTCTGATTGGCTAGGCCTATATCACAGGATCAACTTGAAACTGGGGAGGGCCATGGGCACAGTCCCACTCAAACCACTTGGGTTGAAAGTGGGAAGTGTGTTCTGCGAATGGAAATTACCCGAGGAGGGGCAACAGCTACCAGCAAAGCAAGAACAACTCCCCCCGGGAAAGGCAATCACCCTGCAGGGCTGCTCAGGGCCAGGCTGAAGGCCCTATGGGCTCCACCGGTAGGCAGCCAGCAAGGGGTACAGGGGGCAATGAGTAGAGGCTACAGCTGCCTGTCACCTGCCAGAGGGACCAGCGACACGTCCCTGCCTGGGGTTGGGGCGGCTGAGGCTCGGTCCCACCCTATTCAGTGCACAGCTGCTAGGCTGGGGGTCCGAGGATGCCCCGTCCCCGCTGTGATGGAAGCCACATCTGCTGTGAGGGTGCAGACAGCACGGAAATAAAGCAGGGGGGCAGGTGGGCAGAAGTGGGTGGGTCACAGTGGGGGGCAGTAATCAGGAAGGGCTCCTAGGGCGAGAGATGTAGGGAACCAGCTCCCCGACAGGAACCAGGAACGGCACGTGCAAAGGCCCTCGGTGGAAAGGAGCGTTGTGTTCTGGAAGGGAGAAGGTTTGCATGGCTGGAGCAGGGGCGGCAGGAGCCCTGGGGAGACGCCTGGTAGGGAGAAGGGACTGTGCCCTGGGAGAGGCGTGTCTGCCGGGAAGGCCTGGGGGCTGGACAGGGCTGGGCGCCTCCGGGCTCACTCAGTCCTGACACATCCCCCTCCTCCGGTGCCCCCACCATGTGAGGCAATGGAGACATCTGCTACATCGCAGGCACAATTGGACACTTTTCAACGTATTGCTCAGCCTATAATTTCCTCAGGCTCCATCCAACACAGCCTGCACGGGGCGGGGGCTGGGGGAGCTGGGGCTGCTTCCGCAGCAGAAGCAGGAAGAGGGGGCCTGTCTCCAGGTCCTCTGATGGCTCCTATGTACGGGCCAGTGCCCAGTTTCAGGGCAGCCGACGCTCCTCAGGAGGGGCTGCCTGGCCGGTCACGCAGGCCTCCAGCTCCTTGCCTTGGGGCCTTTTGTTGGTAAAGAGGAGGGGTCCGTGGATGTGAACAGACTGAAAGCTGCAAGAACACACCTGCCTTCTGAAGGAGGAGACGGGTGTGTGAGGGCTGCCATTCCCCCACGCCAGCTCCTTTCTTCCTGATTAAACCTCGCCCCTGCCCTGTTGTCAGAGGGTCTTGAAGTGACTTGCATGAGCTCACACGGCTCTAAGTGGCAGAGCCATCACTTAAACCCGCCGTGGCCCGGCTCTGGAGGGCCAGAGCTCAGCCCCTCAGCTTCTCGGTCATTCCCCGGGCACCTACAGGGCGGGCATCACGCGTCCACAGGCCTGGAGCACCACTCCTGCCTTCCCCGGAAAAAGAGCAGAGAGGCTGAGGAACCACTGGCCCCAGGGGTCCCTGCGTCAGAAGCATGGGGACCAGCCCCCACGTCCCCAGCGGGCAAACCCGACAGGCTCACAGCCACAGCCCCGCTGGCACTGCCGACATGCCTTGCTGCAGCCGGCCCTTGGATGAGTGGTTGAGTGAAGGGCTGACAACTGGTCCTGGGGTCTCAGTAAGACTCTGTGGCCTTTCCCTGTGGTTCGTTTTTTCTCCTGTGCCCATCTGAAGGGGCAGGAGAGGACGCTGGGGGCTGGAGTGGGCTGTGTTGGTGGGAGAGGAGGGGCTGAACCTCTACAGCCCCCTCTTCTACATCTTTGTACCCCCGCCAGGACCCCGGGCTGCCTGCAGTCCTCAGAAAAGCTCACCTCTCTCAGCCAGGTGGAGGAAATGCTCAACCCCAGCCTGGGTCCAGGAACAGGGCCTCGCGGAGTAGGGGCTTGTGGGCCGGGCCAGCCCTAGGGACCAGGACTGCCTCGTCAGTCGTCTGTGCATTTCCCTAACTCTCCAAAGGCCGGCCTCCTCAGGCCCTCACTTCTCTTTCCAGCTGCCACATCAGAGTAGCCCAGATCCCACCCTCCGTGCCCCACCCGGGACCACTCAGCTCCTGCTGGGGTGACCTCTGTCAGGCCCATGGGGCCATAGTGAGGGAGAAGCAATGCCCCCAAAGAGCGTGTGTATGTGTGGTGGGGTACTGTTTCCAGAGGAAGGCGGTGCAACAGGCAGAGCTCAGCAGGAAGAGCTTGGGGTAGGGGAGGAAGCCTCTGCATGGGCTTTGAGGGTGAGCCCTGCTCAGACACAGAGAGGAAAGGGGCCGGGCGGCACGAAGGGGTGGCGTGCACAGGCCCTGTGGTATGTTTGTGGCAGGGGTCCAGCAGGGTGTGGCTGCAGTGTGGACAGTGTGGCCAGGGGTCAGAACATCAGGACCCGGTCTCTGCTGGCTGGCACGATGCACTTAGGAAAAGGTGCCCTGCTGGGCGAGCACAGACCCAGAGGCACATGGCCTGGTGAATGCAGGCGCAGAGGTTTTGCCAGATTGTGCAGTGCACAACATGCACAGCTGTGCAGCACCCCAACCCAGATGTCAGGACTGGACTGGGAGACCTTGGCAGCCCACATACGGGTCTCCTCTCTGCAGCTGAACAGTGTGTGTCCCACAGTGCCTGCTCAGGACCCAGCCTCCTGCAGCAACAAGATGCAAAGAGGAACAAGGGTGGCCGCCCCCCAGCTGGCAGGCAGAGGCTGAGAGCCAGACAGGCAGCTCCGTGAGCCTGCTGCACACCCCACCCGCACGGCTGCTGGGAATGAACACTGCTCCACAACAGGAAGCAATCCGTCATCTGCGTGGGCCGCGTGGACGCCCCCCGCCCCCCAGTGGACAGGCCTCCAATCCCCCCAGCACACCCAGAGGCCAGAGGCAGCACCGCGTGCCCATTGCAGGAGCCAATGAATTCACACTGCACGGGGATATTTCCTCTTACTGCGCAGAACCGAGGGGCATAAAACCCTGGTTCCTCTTCTGCGGCCTGATCCTGCTCTCTGTGTGCTCATATCATTTAATAACTCCTGCCACAGCCCAAGGGCCAGATCTGCGGGGACCCGGGGGCCCGCGTGGCGGTTCCCATCAACAATCTGGCTGCTTACACTTCCGTTTCCCCTCCGAGCCTCCCAGAAGTTTCCATAAAAACAGATGTAGGTAATCAAAGACTTCCCAGCCCTGAACAGCTCTGCTCCTGGAGGCTGCGGCGGAGGAGTCTGCTTCCTCTGCTGGGCTTGTGGCTCTGAAAGTCTCTTAAACTGGCCCTCAAATCTCAACCCGGGGAGGAAGGACCCCTGGCCTGCATATCTGCCATTATCTACCAAGTATTTTATGGTCAGTAATAACGCTCATAACACCTTGGCTGTCCCCTGTGCCTCTTCTAATCATGCTCAGAGCACATGGCACAGGAGCGCCCGTGCCTCAGGTGGCTGAGGACCGAGCTGTCTCGTTCCCATTTTGCAGAGGGAAGGGAGAAGGCTGAAGGGACCAGCCTAAGTGCCATCTGCCCCAGATTCCAAACATTCCAGGAGAAAGGTGGGAGTGGCCTGTCCCCTTCCTTGTCATAGGCCTGCTGCTGGCCTTGTCCCACGCTCCTTCTGCAGCGCACCTTTGTCAACTGCCAAGGAGGTACCCCTCAGCCGGCCTAGAGCTCAGCAGTGGGGTGGGATGGGGCCAGACCCCCACTCCCCTGTCCGCACTCCCTGCGGGTCACCCCATTAGTGCCAGCGTGAGCTGAGCAGTGGGTGAGAGAATGACTTCTGACCCAAACAGCCCAGATGGCACGTGTGTGGGGCTGGGTTCCAGGCTCTGCTCTTCTTCCTCGAGGGTATAGTCCGGGCAACAGAGCAATCCCCTTTGCCGGCCTCTTACTGCCCCTTCACGCTGTGGAGACCAGGATGGGCCCGGCCCGGATCCCACCCACCCGTGGTCTACCCAGATGGCAGGGGTGACCGCTGGGCTCAGCTGATCACAAACCTGCTCCCGGGGCTGTGAGTCTTGAGTGAGACAGCCCGTGGGAAAGGGGCTCCTGTCTGGGAAGTCAGGTTTCCCCAGGGACGCTCTTGTCGTTTGAGATGGCTAGAGTTGGTTCCCGTCATCTGCAACGAAACCCTGGTGACCAACATGGCCCTGTGACCCGTTGTGCCTGATGCGGACCGCAGCTAACGTGTGTGGAGACCCTGCTATGTGCCAGACACCCTCCGCGTTACCTCACTTAGTCTTCACAATTGCCCTAGTATTATTATCCCCACTTCACTGGTGGGGATACTGAGGCACAGAGAGGTTAAGGAACCCGTCCAAGGTCACACAGCTAACAACTCAGGCCACCTGTCACCAGGACCTGCTTTCTCGATGAGCACAGTGGCTTCTTGGCATCTTAGGGGAAGAAGCAGGGGGCTCTGGGCAGAGGCTGTAACGGGGAGGCGGAGGCAGTGAAACCCCGCATGTTAAACCCCCTCTGCTATGGGAGTGTGACGGCCTTGGCTGGATATCGGTCCCAGATGGAGCAGGAGCATGTCATGTTCCTGCCCACCTTCCCGGGCAGGGCGTGTGTGCCATGCCCAGGGGCTTCTCTGGCCAGGCTGGGGAGTGTCTGCAGCATCATCGGTGGAGGGAGCCACGATAGACAGGTGGACCGTTGGCCGAGGCAGGGGCTGCAGGTGTGGTCTCCATGTTTCCCGGGGAACCCTGTCAGGGGCTACCTGTCAAGTCAGAGGGGGGCAGGCTAGCAAGCAGAGGGGCGCCCACACCTCCAGCCAAAGCAGCCCTTGGTCGTTTACCTCCTGGACTTCCACGAGGAGTGTCATTTGAGCAAAGGCCTCCCCTCACTTGGGGACCGTCTGCCTGAGAATGGAGCCAACACGGAGGAAAGCAGAGACAAAGAGAGATTCCTGTCAATAGCTGCTAAGCGCCTGGATCCAGCCATGCCTGAAGCCATAGCCTTCTAATAGCAAGAGCCAATAGTTTGTTGATGTAATTTCAGGTTTTTGAGCCCATGACTCTGGTTTCCGTCACTTTCATCTGAATGAATCTTGACAAATATGGATTCACACCAGAATAAGTTCCAGCTTTCTCCTACCCTGAAGCCTCCTGCCATTGCAGTAGAGAGAGCAGCGCTAAAACCTCTGGAGCGACTGTCCTGCTGGGTTCCATCAGGAGGAGATGGAACTGGCACAGAGCCACCCACACACCGCTGAAGGTGCGCTGGAGGCAGGGGTCAAGGAACAGAGGTCCAGGGAGCTTGGAACAGAAACCAGTCATGTCTCGCCCATGCTCAGAACCATCCAGAGCCTTTTCGCGACTCAGGTCGTACCAAGCCCGGTGCTGTGGCCCCAGCCCGCCCTCCTCCTCCCTGGATGGCAGGCTCTCTGGTCCTCTTATCTAGAACGAGTCGGGCAGGCTTTCCCTCCAGGCCTCACACCAGCACACCGGGAATGCTCACCCCACGGCGGGCCCCTCCCAGCTGTCTCCTCTTCGTGTTGCTCCGGCACCAAAGCCACCTCCCCTGGGCCTTCCCTGGGGCCCCTTCCAGTCAGTGTGACTTCTCTCCTTTGCAGCGAGGATGGAGGATGGCCGTTCCCCTTGTTTGTTGCTTCCTTCTCCCCACTGGGACAGAAGATCTTAGCTTCACTATGCCCGTTGGACACTCAATAAGCAATGGGGAATGAATGAATGAATGAATGAATGAGCACGGCCTCCAAGGCTTTGCCAACAACCTCCCACCTCTCCTGGCTACGTGCATCTCCTTGTCTCACACACACACACACACACACACACACACACACACACACACACCACGCACCCTACTTTCCTCTTTCTTCCGGAGAATGCCCAGCACCCATGATCAAGGGGGCTTTTTTTGCCCAAAGCCCTCTCACCAGCCCATGGCGGGCTGGCTCCCTGGTCACTGGGAAGAAAACACCTCCTGTCCTGCCGCTGGCCTCAGCCCCCAAGGTGTCCCCGAGGGGGGGAGGGGCTCCAGCAGCCTGTGTTCCAGGGAGCAGTGGCCCAGGATAGGGGTGGGTTGCTTTTGTGTTTTTCCATATGAGGAAAAAATTAGCCTTTCTTACCAGACAAGAATGACAATTTTCAGAAAATTACGCTCTGAATTCATCGTCTGGAATGAGCGGAAGTGCGATTCTATGGTAACCCGTCCCAACTGGCTTGCTATTGTACACGCACCTGCTAACATTTGTTAAGCAGCGACTTTATGGGAAGGACATTTTGATCGCTTCCGAAGTTTGCTGAGCGATTCCCCTCTCTCTCAGGCACATGGTCTTTGTGCTGGAAATTTCCCTCGTGGCTCCTGCGAGCACCAGCAGACGGGCACGTGGGCTCGCGGGCGGCGGCTCACAGCAGCGGCCCCTCTCGTCCGCGTGACTCTAATGGGGAGCTTTGCAGGTGCCAAGCTGTGGAAATGGAAGCTGTGAGACTGAAATAAGCGTTGGCACCTGTGCCGAGCTTGCCCGAGGAGCTGCAAACCATGGCGCCGGGTGAAGGGAGGGGCAGAGGACAGGAGGGGTGCAGGGCTTGGGCTGGGCGACCCCTGGGCCGGGTAGAGGTGCGGTATCAGGCTGCAGAGGTGCTGGGTGGGATGGGCGAGATGGTTGTCCACCGACCCTCACACACCCAGTCTCTGTGGTGCCACAGAGGTCACTCATTCCAGGCCATCGTTCCAGGGGCCGGCAGCCACCCTAGCCAGTCCTTACCTTGGGACTGCAGCCCAGCACCTACACAGATGCACAGTGGCCTGGGAGCCCCATGAGCAGGGACGAAGCTGCCAACATGCCTCGGTGCCTTGTGTTGGGCCTGGTGCGTGGTGGGTACTGGGGAAATACTTCCAGGCTGAGGACCCCACTCTGACACGTCACACTGACTCTCGTCCTGTATGGTCTCCTGGATCTCCAGGGCCTGTTCTTCGAGGACTCACTGACACCGAGGCCCAGAGGGTGGGCAGGCTGTAGGCAGGGGCAGCACGGTGGACCTCTTCCACTGGCGCCATCAGGAAAGTGATGGTCATGCCAATTCATGAACTGGCGATGACATGGGGACATGAGGGGGTGGACATAAGAATGTTCACTGAAGCTTTCTCTGTGGGAACAAATATTTAGGAACATCATAAATTGACAGCAGAAGGGGTGTGCTAACAGAAGCGGTGGCACCTTGGGCTCCAACAGCAGCAGGGGAAAAGCATGAGACGCTCTCATGTAGAAAGCGTGCCAGGAAATGTGGTTATTCCTGAAAAAGAAAGTAACTTTAAAAGAAAGTTTACAAAAACAATGCCAAATATTGTGATCAGACACAGAAACACAGAGACACACACACACAAATATGTCAACTATGCAGAGAGAACCCTCCACACCATCAGCCACATCCACCTCTGGAATGACAGGGGGCCTGGAGCTGGAGACGACGGGGACGGTGGCCTTATCTGCACTGTCTGCATTCTTCCCTCACCATGAGGATATATTCATGCACGCTTCTGTAATTCAAAATTAATAATTCTTTTAAAAGAAAGAAAAAGCAAAGTAGGCTGGTTTATGCTCTCAACCTTTCTGATCGCAGTCTGAGACGGGGCAGTCCACCCAACCCGACCGTTATGAAGCTCAGCTTATTTGTCTCATTCATTCATTCATTCATTCATTCATTCGTTCGTTCGTTCGTTCAATATGTACCATCTCCCTGTCATCTGTTCACTCAAATGATGGGAAGAGTTAGGAGGGAGCATCTCCATCTGTTTCCCAATAAGAGGAAAGCGTTATACATGGAACCAGTGAACTGATAGCTGCTGTGCACCTACTGTGTGCCACCTGCTGTGCACTGCTGGGGGAGATGACAGGAGAAGGGGAGCAGGAAAGAGGGCAGAGCAGGGAGAGGGGAGGAGAAAGATGAGGTGAGGCCTCGGCTCTCCAGACAGGATGGGGAGGCTGCGGAGGCCTGAGCGCAGCCGAGAGAGGCAGCCACGGGAGGGCAGGCCCGGGGGTCCGTCCGCTGCCGGCTGCAGGCGCCTCAGCTCTGGCGTTACTAGTGGTTTTGCTGAGAGCTGGGTCCTGAAACGCCCAACCTGCAAGGAGTCACTTCTTCTCGCTCTGGAACAGCCTTTGCCTCCCAAAGGCCTGGGCTCTGGAGCAGAAAGGGGTCCCTGCGGGGAGAGGATTACCAGCCCTCTGGAGCTCCCCCCAGTTTGGTACCAGCCACCAGAACTTGGGAACCGTGAAAATTCTTCCCAATGGTGGGTCAAAGGGGGAGGCCCTAGAGTTCCTTCACTTAATGAATGTTTATGGGGCCCCTTTGGTGTGGGCACTGTGCCAGCCTGAGACAGGCAGGTACTGAGAGATGCCCGCACGGAACTCACACGTCATGGGTGTGGGGAGTTGGGAGAGAGACAGGGGAAATGATTAAATGTCGACTTCCCAGAGGACCCAGCAATTCCACTCCTAGGTATATACCCAAGAGAAATGAAAACATGTCCCCACCAAAACTTGTTCCCAAACGCTTGCTTGTAGCAGCACTATTCGTATTAACAAATTGTGGAAACCTCCCAAATGTCCACTGATGGACAAGTGATAAACAAAATGTGTGTCCAGACAACGGGATATTATTCAACCAGAGAAAGGGATGCTACCCGGACTGTCCGTCAGGGAAACCAGTCACAAAAGGCCGCATATGCGTGATTCCATTCATATGATAATCCAGGTGTGGAGCGTCTGCAGAGACAGGAGAGTAGATGAGTGGTTACTTAGGGCTGGAAAGGGCGGCTTTGTGGGTAAGAGTTAACAGGTTTCTTTCTGAGGTGATGAAAATGCTTTAAAGGGACTGTGGTGATGAATGCACATATCTGTGAATATACTAAAAGCCGTTGAATAGTTCACTTTAAGTGGGTGAACTGTCTAGTATGTGAATTATATCTCAATAAAGCTCTTACTAAAAGAAAAAGAAAAAGAATTGCCACTATCCGACAAATCCAGAGCAGACGATGTCCTACCAGTCAACTCGCCTGGACTTGTCCAAAAGCCAAAGTCATGGCAGAGAAGAAGTGGGGGTGGGGCTGCTCTGGATTGAAACAGACCTAAGAGCAGACCCGACAACCAACACACAGCAGGGACTTCGGTTGGCTCCTGTTGAAAAAATCTGGGGACAACTAGGGGGCATTTGACACGGCTTAGATGTCACTGGTATTATGGGGTAATTGTTCATATGCTTAGATGCAAAAATGCTGTTGTGTTTATTGAGGAGAATGTCCTAATTCTTAGGGGACACATATGGAAGTATTTAGGGGTGAAGTGTCATGATATGTGCACTTGTACAGGAAAAAGCGTGTGTGTGTGTGTGTGTGTGTGTGTGTGTGTTGTGTAAAGGGTGAGAGAAAGCAAACAGCAAACTATGAACAACTGGTGATTCTCGGTGAACACCTGTTAACAGGTGTTCATGGTACTATTCTTTCAATGTTTTGATATATTTGCTATATAAAAGGCAAAGAAGAAAATGTCACTTTGCCTTTGTGCTACTCCTCAAGACCTTGTAAATCCCTCGATTTTCCACCCCATTAAAGGGTGTCAGCAGAATGCAGTTCTGCAGGCCCGAAAGTCTGGGTCTCTGGCCCCACCCAGATCCTCACTCCCCGTTGCCAAGTAAGCCTTGCTCCCAACAGCACCGAGGCCAGCCCCTTCCTGCCAGGCCCTGCCACGCCCGGGCCTGAGCTGCCACCCTCTCCCTACGATGGTGGTAGCAGATAGATAAGACGTACATCTGATCACCTCCTGCGGCACTGACACAGACCACCAGTGTTAGCAGCGTGGGCCTGGGTGTGGTCACGTGACTTGTTCCCTGCCCCACGAGCCTGTGCACTCCACGAGGGCAGGACAGCCTGGGCTCCCTGCTCATCGGGCCCTGGGCACCCCGCACAGAATATTAAAGACCCCGAGTTAGAGCACCACAGGGCTGTGGAAATGGAGGAGAAGGGACCCTTTTTTGCCCCTTTAGCTGTTGGCATGTAAATGGGACTCCCACGAGTCTCAGACCTGCCTGCTGGTGGCCTGGGACCCCTGGCTATGCCTGTTTCCTGAAAAGGATGTTGTGACTTCAGCACAACCCCAATGCTGGTTTACAGATCGGTCACATCTGGGTTAGCGAAGGGTTATGGGCACAGAAGAACCACCCAGGACGCCCCTGCTGAAGGTCCCATCGCCAGCACTGGGCCTCCAGCGTCAGTCTCTTTGGGACTGCCTCAGCCGCAGAGCTGGCCTGCTGGTGGCCATCCGCCATGCCTGAGGGAGGCGGGGACACGAAGACCTGCCACTAGGCCCAGGGCACAGCGGCTCTGTGGGCCACTTCAGCTCCAGAGCGCCAGAGCCCTCTGCCCACTCCTGCTTTTACGCCCCCTGGTCCCCAGGTGTTCATCCCTAGGGCATCCCCCAACACTCCAAGCAGCTTCCGGAGAACCCAAACTGCCACGTGCCCATTGCCCCCATTCCAGGAGCAGGCATGGGAGCAGGGAGCGCAGACGAGTGTCCTGCTGCTTCCAGCTGCGCACCACCGCTGTCCTAGCCGCTGTGACACGGCCCGCCTGCACTCGCTAGCTGGAGAGCAGAACAGCCGTGCAGGCCCGGGGGAGGCACCCTGCAGTCTCTGGAGAAGGGTCCTCTGGAGGTGCCCCTGTCACTGCGTGCACTTTGGCGGCGACTTCCTCTCCGCAGACTTCCACCTGGCAGAAGAATGGCATGTCACTGTGACATGACACGTCACTGCACTCATAACCACGGAGGTGAGGGGGCAGGAAAGAAAATGAAGCCTTCCATGAAGAGTGACCCAGACGGGGTACCTGGCCTCGGGGAGCGGGGGACGTGTGTGTCCACAGCATGCTCTGGTCAGCCGCCCCGGCCTGGGCTCTCATCAGCCCCCACGGGCCCCAGGCCTGCGGGCCTGCATTGTCAGCCGACCTCACCTGTTTGCAAACATATCTGACCCCTGTGTCCACTCCGCTTCGCCCCAACTCTGGCCCAACCACCATGTTGCCAGGCTTGGGCCATTGGCCTCTCTGCCTGCAGGCTATGCCCAGTCCTCACCTCCACACGCCCTCAGGAGCTGAGCAAGTAAATCACATCAGCCACTCTCCTACTTAAAACCTTTCCATTCAAAGGCTTCTAACAGCATTCAAGGAAAATTCGAACTCCTGCCACTGCCTGCAAGACCCTAGGCAGGCGCCTCGGCCCCTGTCCCACCCGACCTCACGCCCACCCTCCCTGACTGCGCTCCAGCCTTCCTGCCGGGTTCTGCACACTCACTAACCCGCTTGGCCCCCTGGGCCTGGGCACATGCTGTTCCCTGTGCCTGGGACACTTTTGTGCTGAATTTTTGTCATGCTTCAGGTCTTTAAGGCTCAAATGTCTCCTGAGAAAGGCCTTCATGAGCCAGCTTATCTGAAGTGATAAGCCTGTGCTTCTCCTATCACATCACCCAGAGACTTTCTCAAGAGTTCTTACAGCTGCTGAGAACCAGCTTATCTTTTTCCTATAGTAGTCCACTCACTTACGTCCTGACCCCTCTCCCACCCCGAGGACAGGTTTCCCCCTGCTTTGGTTCCCTGTGTCCCCGGTGAGGGAGCTGTCCTGGGCACATGGCAGTTCAGTGAAGACCCCAGGACGCATGACCGGATGGAGGCGGCAAGCCGGCCGTCCTCGGCAGGGCGGGAAGGCTGTGGTCCTCGCCGGCTGGCTGCGGGATCCCATGAAGCCAGACGGGGCGTCTCTGCCTTTCTCCATCGCGTGTTTACGCCATATGGCTGCTTGCACCGGGCTCATCTGCAGATGCTCTAACTTGGAGCTTTCTTGCTTTTGTGTGTTACTAACATAAAGATGGATGGAACATAGCTTTCCACACATTCTGTGTTTGCTAACTATCTATGTGTATATAAAACAGACGTCGGTGGTACTAGCCAACCCACTTGTGAAGTGGGAGGAAAACACCAATTAGAGAGGGAGGGAGGTGCTGGCTGAGAACAAGGCCAAGTCTGGGGGACTGCGCGAGCTTCCGGGGAGCAGGCTCCATCCACACAGATCTTGGGGCCCCCATGAGCCCCAGGGTGGAGTCCAGCTCCCCGAGAAGCACGGCACAGAGGGTGCTTCTCTGGGCTTCGGCCCACCTCATGCCCATCAGCCCCAGACACACCGACAGCTGTTGCCTCCTGTGCCAGCCTCCGCGTCTGGTCCTGAGCTCTCCTCACTCGGCCCACCCCCACCTCTGACCGGCCTGCTGGGCCCTCCTGGCCTTCATTCCCGAATCTCCCCTCAAGTGTCTGAACACTGAGCGCCTCCCACGTGCCTCTGTGCAGATTCCTTCTGAAGGGAGAAGGGCCCCCAACAAGTAAACAAACATGCAATTACAAAATGTCTCCAGCGCTAGGCAGAATAAAAATATGGGGCTTAATTAAAAGGGGAGAACTAAGCATTTATTCCGCCATATGAGTTGTATTTCAGGGCAACCAAATAGCTCTAATTGATATGGAAAATTTCTCTACAGAAAATTCCAGTGAATAAATTCGGAATAGTGGTGTGGTGTGCCCCACTGGTAAGGGCGGGGGCACTCTGCCCAGCGAGAGCCGTGTTCCATCACTGACACTGGAACGGCAAGGGCATGGTAATGAGAAAAGCTGAGGACTTTTAGTCCATTTTATTATTAGTTTTAAGTTATTTTGGGACAGCATCTTCCCCCCTCCCCCCCCCCGCCATTGCCTGCATCAGGCAGTCCCACACACCGACTGCCCCCCTGACATGCCTCTAATTGGGAAGAAATAAAGGAAACAAAAAAATCACCAATTTGCAAACCCTAATCAAAACTCTCATTCAGGAAACAATTATCAATGGATGAAGCTATTAGGTGAGGGACGGACGGACAGGGAACTTACAATGGAAGGACAGGGCTGTCACCGCCTGAGCCTGCTGGCCCAGCTTAGCCTCATGAGAGGTAGTGACACACGAAGCACACAGCATCACGTCCGGACATGAACTCATCACCTCTGAGAACTGGTTTCTGTCTGCAGGGAGCACAGGAGACAAGAACGGATGAAACGACTCCGTGGAGAAGCACACAGACAATTCCAGAATCGGGAATGACTGCAGGACCCTGCCTGCTGCAGCAAATGCGGGAAAGTCGGGTCTGCCTGAGAGAGAAGGAGTAAAGGACACAGCACCCAGATCGGCACACGGATCCCATTTAGACGGCGATCCTATTTAAAAGGCATATTCAAGGCAACTGGGAAATTTGATTTTAGACTGAGTATTAAATGATACCAAGAACTGTCTGTTTTGTTAGGCGTGTTACTGGCATCATGGGTAGGTAAGAAAACGTCCATACTTTTTAGAGATGCGTACTCAAGTATGTAAAAGTGAAATGACATTATGTTTGGAATTCGCCTTAAAATACTTCAGCAATGGTGGTGGGGGAGGGGGGCGGGAAGCCATGGGCTCCATGAAGCGAATGTGACAAAAATCTTAATTGTTAAATCTGTAGGCTAACTACGGGAGGGTTCATTGTACTACCATCTTTCTACTTGTGTGCATGTTGGAAAGTTTTATAATGAAAAATACAAAAACAAAACAGAGAAAATTGGTGAGAGGCAAGAAAGAGAAGAATAGTCCTGAGATGGAGACAAGATCATTTAGATAGCGTGGCTTGTCAGAGAAAGGGACGGAGCCCCCAGGCTGGAGCAGAGGGAGAGGTGGGAGAGGGGTCGGGTGCCCTGTGACAGCAGGTTACTCTGTAATCCTGGGACGCAGTCAAATGGTTTTAAAGAGGGGCAGGTTTGATTGAATTTACAGAAGTAAATTTCTTTTAGAAAAAAGAGGTGGTTGTAGTTGTCATGGGACAAAGGCATTTCGGTGGTGAAGAGGCAGTATAGCAGTCCAGGCAGCGACCCGCCTCCAGGATCCAGCAAAGAAGCGCAGAGGTAGACAGGTTGGAAATACTTGGGGGGCAGAAAGCCACTGGGGCTTGCTGATGCCCGCAATGCAGAGGGGGAGAGTAAGCAGGAATGGCAGGCTTGGGACCTGAGCAATGAGTGAGCAGTGGACCCAGGTGGAGAAGCAGGTGGGGTGGGGGGGCCCTGAGTTCACCTTTAGGCATCTTACACTGGGAGGCCCGGGAGCTGGCAAGTGGGCGGGGCGGAGGTGTGGGCTGGAGATGCAAGAACCCCCGGGGAGGGAGCATTAGGAGAATCACTCCGCTCCATGCTCACCTGGAGGGGGAGGAGTCCCCGGAAGGAGGGAGAGCCCAGTGGTGTTCTCAGGAAGACAGGATGGGCCGCCATGCCCAGCACTCCTGAGAGGAGCCGTGAAACAAATCCTGAAAGATGCCCTTTGTTGTGGGTGAGACGGAGGGCATTGGTGGCCCTGACAAAGACAGTTTAGTGACGCCCTCCCCTCCCTGGACCCTCCCCCGCAGGCATTTCTCTTGCGGTTTTGTGATGACCCACAGGTGGGCTGCTTTTCTCCTCCATTAGGGCAGAGCATCCTGGGGACAGGCTGCCTGGTTTAGCCTTCATGCCCCAAACAGAATTCATGCCTGTGGCCAGCCAGCGGACACTTGAGGCAGCTGGTGGGCCCAGTAAAACGGCCCAGGCGCCAATTCCTCTGTTCATCCCTTTCCTTACTCTGACCAGTTTCATATATTAATTTAAATACTAGCAGGTCACGCAGTGAGTCATTTCCTTTCAATTCTCTGTCACATACTCTGCTTTGTCAAGGAGAAAGTCTCTGCAGCTGAGATGGCTTTGACACCCCTCTAATGTTTGCTCGCCTCCTTTTTCAAAAAACTGTGGTAAAATTACACATAATATACAATTTGCCACCTTAACCAAGTTCAGGGACATTTTGTACATTCACAGTGTTGTGCAACCATCGTCACCATCCGTCTACTCAGCTCTTTCACCTGGCAAAACTGAAACCCTGTCCCCTAAGCCCTACCTGCCCACCCCCAGGCCCAGCACTGGCGACCACCCTTCCACTTTGTCTCTATGCATTGACTACCCTAAGCACCTCATCAAAGTGGAATCATACAGTCACCCCGTTCTGAACAGAGGGCCACGGCCAGCCCCCTCTTGTCACCTTGTAGTCATAAACACTTTGATGCCTCCCTTTCTCTTGGTGGCTGTGATGCTGGTTTTCCATTTGGGGGAGGGACAGTCGGTTTTCCTCTTCAAACAGAGCCAAGTGGGAAATATGATTCGTAGCGAAAGGAGAGAAGAGAAGGCTTGAGGTGGGGAAGCCCCGGCCTTGCACTTGGAGGCTCCTTGCTGAGCCCTCGGTGTCCCTGATACCAGCCCCACGTAGGTAGGCCTCGGCCAAGGAATGTGCCCCCACTCCATGCTCCTGCCTCCTCAGCTTCCTGTCGCCATCTGGAAAAAGCTTTCTGTACCTCTCACCTTTGCCCCCGTCCGTTCATCCGCCCACCTATTTATTCAGCAAACCTGGCTGCCCAGACCCTGTGCTGGGCTCCAGGAAATGCTCAGGCCCCCAGGCCTGGGTTTCTCCCGGTCTATCCCTTCCTCGGTGCCCTCTTCATTCTCTCCTTCTTGTCTATTGAATCCTGACTCTCCCTCACCCGAGACACCATGCTGCAGACTCTTGGTCAGTTCTGAATTCCAGGTAGGGTGTCAGTGTCAGACAACCACAGTGGCCAGGCTGGTGCTAACGGAGTAAAGCGGCCCCCTCTCCCCCGAACAGGCCAGCCACGTGCCGTTGTCCTGCACAGATGCGAGCCCAGCTTTGCCAAATCGCCCTGTCGCTCAGAGTCAGAAATCCTCACGTAGACAGGAATTCAACTTTTTGCTAATATTCTGCAGGCCACTGGCCTGTTTGTGACCTCTGTCCAGTCATGTTTGGAGCGAGTCCTGTTCAGTGTCCATTTGCCCCCAGAGGGTGTGAGGCATCCTTGGGAGCTCCTAGAGCGCAGGGTCAAGCCAGCCCACCCCAGGCCCACTCGCATCTGGTGGGGGGCCGGCACACAGGGGCCCCCGAGGCTGCCAGGCTGATTGATAAGCGCCGCCTATGTGACTCATACAAGTGAGGGGTGAGGGATGTTGCTGGGGAGGTCAGGATTCCTGGGGAGCTTTGCCAGCGACCAGCCTGGCACCCCCGAACCATGCCGGTGCTGACGGACTGGCTTTATAGAGAAGGGCCCGCGTGGGTCTGGGGCGCCACCGGGCGACTCGAGCTCACAAATGGACGCAGTCTGACGGTTCCTCCTCACCCTTCCATTCACCCACGCCACCCACGGCTCTCTTGGCTCCAAGTTGTGAGAAACCCAACCCCAACAGGCTACATGAATACATGAAAATAAATAATGGGCTCCAGCATCCAGAAAGTTCCTAGTAATCTGGTCTTGAGCTTGATTGGACCCAGGAACTCAACGAATCAGAAGCCTGCTTCCCCTCACCTTTGGCTCTGCTCCCCTTCCAAGGAAGGTCACCCTGAGTGGCAAGATGGCCTCCTGGTCCCAGGCCCACTTCCTGGCAGCTTAGCAACACCAGAGGATTTTCATTGGCCCAGCTTGGCTCATGTGCCTATCTGAACCAATCACATGGTCAGGAATGTGGTACTCTGATTGGCCAGGACTCCATCAAAGTGCAGAGGGTGGTGCTTCAAGGAAAATGTGAGTTCCTGACCAGAAGGAACATACCAAGGCCTTCTCTTTCCAAGCCACCCCACCCTCTATGTCTTGCAGCTGTGCCTATCTTCAAAAAACCCAAAGTGAGGAGATTTCAGTGAAAGCTGGGGATATGGTGGTCAGACAGATCAACGCCCTCTTGTGTCTGAGTCTACGCCGTGGGGGTAGCCTATTGCTGCATAACTGCCCCCCAACCTGGTCACACACTCCCACTCCTTGAAGTATCTTCAGATTAGTCTGTTCCTGGCAACCCTGGGCTTAGCATAGAATCCATAAATGTCAGCTCATGGCTCTATCATACACTAAGTTTAAAGGTCAAGTTTAATTTTCACTGGAGTGTTTCAACTGATCACAGCCTCTGTCTAAAGAAGTACTGACTGGATTTACTCTCGTGTTAGGGGAGTTAGGCCAGGGAGGGACCACCCATTGGTTAGCCAGTCTCCCCACCTTGGAGTCCACAGCAGCATAAGCTTGATCTGAATGGTAATGAAGACTTGGGGAGCATAAATTGGGACCCCGGACAACTCCTGACATGGCAGGCCTCTGCACACAGGAGCCAAGCCTCCGGGGCCTTCCCACCCTCGGGGGATCCCGCTCACCTTGCCTGGCCCTCACCCCACAGCTCACACTGCTACGGCCAGTTTGGCCCCTCTTCTTCTGGTATTCCGGTCTAGCCTCACAAGACCCCCTCCTTTGGCGCGGCCAGGCAGCCACAGTTGTCCAGCTCTGCCTGACAGCAAGCCTTCTGCCAGCTCTATTCCCAGCCATAGCCCACGCCTTCCCTGATCAGCCCTCTCCGGCACCAGCACTCCTTAACTTTCTGTTAGGTGCCTTTAAGGAGCTGGTAAAAGTTAGGCACCAGCTGCCCAGGAAAATGCACACAATGGGCTGGCACTGTCCGCAGGAAGTTTCCTGGGCCCCTGAAGGCTGTCTGGGGGTCCCAGGTTAAGGTATCCTATCAGGGAAGGACTTCCCACTGGCAACCCCCACGTGTTCACGTCTCCTTAACCCTAATATCCTGGCTCCTGATCTAACCCTCCCACCATCATTGGTCCTGCACCCAAATGTCTTTATGGATAATAATTGTTAATCACAGTAATTACTACATGCTAAATATGGTTGCAAATGCATTATGAGCATTAGTACAGGAACCCCGGAGGCTGGGATAATTTGAATCACTCCATTTTACAGATGAGGAAATTGAGGCACCAAGAAGTGGTTAAGGAACTTTCCCAAAGGTGCAGCCCTTGCCACACAGCAGCTGGTTTACCACCTCTAGTCCCACCCAGTCTCCCTCAAGGCTGAGCCCATGTGTGGACACTCTGAAGCTGTTGCAGGCACAGCATGAAATGAACCCAAACAACCAAAGGTGAGCTGCCCCAGACAAGTGGCCATCAGTAACTTCAGAAGCCCCCAAGCCTTTGTGCAGGCTGTTTCCGCTGCCTCGGATATATCTTTTCTATGGCCTCTGCCAAACTCATTCACCCTTCCCGCCTAGATGCCGCTTCCTCCACGCAGCCTTCTTGGCATCCAAGAGGAGTTTGGATGCCCCCCATACTCCACGTGAAGTCATATCCCCCAGAACTTTCCCATCTCAGCCCTTATCACTCTGTACTGCAGCTGACTTCCTCCCTTCCAGGCTGGACGCTCCCAAGTAGGCAGGGATTATTAAAGTCTTGCTTTACTTGGTTTTAATTATTTTTTTTTAAAAAAATTCAAATTGTTTATTGAAGTATAACATACATTCAGTAAAGTACACAGATCGTAAGGGTATAGCTCGAGCCTACCTAAGCCAACCTGAGCAAGTCGCCTCAGCAGCCTTGACCTCAGACCCCCCGAAAGGGCAACAGTCTGGTAGCAGGGGCTTTGTGGAGGTGACACAACTTACACTCTTCAATAAGACCCAGGCGCTCACTTCAAGAAGACCATCATGAGTGGGGGGGTGGGGAGCGAAACTGAGACTAGAGCAGGAAAGACCTGGGCGTGTTTAGGAGCCCTCTGCTACAGGCTAGAAGTTGAGAACAGAAGGTACTTTCAAGTTACATTATTCTATATCTGTCTCTCTCACTAGCCGGCCAGCTCTACAAGTTGTGGTCCATGTATGTTTTTCAGGTATTCCTTAACGAGTAGGATTTAAATGTCTCCCTTCCTGCAGGCACTAGGCTGATACCTGGGGGACACAGCCAACCATGAGACAGACAAGGTTGGGAGAGGGGCACCAAACAAAGCCACGCAAGAGACACACGGTGGCAAGTGCTATGAAGGACCCATGGCAGGGCAATGAGGTGGACAGCAGCGCCTGGGGCAAGCAGGGCTCTAGGCTAAATGGTCACTGGTGACCTTGAAGCTCTCAGGAGGAAGGAGCAGCCCAAAGGGGCCACAGCAGGTGACAGCGAGCTTCAAGGTCCTGAGGTGAGAAGGGACGGAGGGTGGCCTGAGCTGCGAGGGGTGCAGGGGTGGAAGGCGAGGTCTGAGAGGGGCTGAGGGCCGGTCATGCACCGCCCTGGGGGCCAAGGCAGGGGCTGCGGATTTGATCCTCGGGCGGATGGCCAACATTCCGAAGGCTTTAAGCTGGAGAGGGCCCCGTGGAGTCCCAGCGCTCCAGGTCTTCTGATGCTCACATGGAGTCTGCGGCGTAGGGGACACGTGGAAGGTGCTTGGCTGTTAGTCGAATGAATGAATGAATGCACGCACGGAAAGATGGCGAGACGCGCGCCCAAGAGTAACAGCTGTTCCGCAGGGGGCCCCAGACCCAGCGGCCGGCTGGAGGCCCTGCTCCTAGGCCCGGCGACCGGGCGCTGTGACCCTGGGCACATCCCCGCGCGGACGCAGGGCCGGAACCTGCGTCTCAGGGGCGGAGAGGACGTGCAAGCAGGGACAGCGCGCGCGCACGGCCGGAGGGCGAACGGTGGGTCCTCCGGCCCGGCCCCCGGCCCCCGGCCCCCACGCAGGCCCGACTCGCCCGGGCCCGAGCGCTCGCCGCCCGGCGTGTTTACATCCGCCCCGCGCCCGCCACGCGGCTTTCTGCCGCTCAGGCGCAGCTCGGCCCCGCCCCCGGGGCCACCTTCGGCCCCGCTCGCGCCAGACAGGCCCCGCGTCCGCCCG